GCAAATACATCTAAGGAAACACACACACACACACACACACACACACACACACACACACACCACACACACACACACACACACACACACACACACACACACACACACACGCACACAACCCTGGGCGCTGGTGACCATATATTACTGAAGTTTGAATACTTTGTGGAACTAAAAGTAAAGGGAAGGACGAGAAGCCAGATTTTGGAAGAGGAGACTTCTGAGGGATGAGGGAATTCCTGAATGCAGTGCAGTGAGAAAGGAAACTAGAAGGTGATGAGATGAGTAACTGGCTGGAAGGTACCGGGAGGCAGACCTGATACCCTGTAGAAGGAAAAATCACAAAGATTGCATAGAGAGTCCTTGGTTCAACCAGAGACGTATAGAGGCGTAAAAAAAAGCTTAAAAGGCAAAGGAGAGACGAGGATGGAAAGGTGAGCAGATCAGCCAGAATATGTAAGAGAGAAACTGATTGACGATTTGAGAATGACTTAGCAGGAAAAGCTAAGTTTCAACAAAAAAACTGCTTCACAGCCAAATTCGAAGAAAGACCACTGTAAATATGAGGAGAAATAAAAGATAACACTAAATTCATGAAATTTACTTGATAATAAACACACACATGAAGTAATTCCTAACTGAATCACAACAATGAAAAAATTAAACAAACTGCAAAAGCGAATCAAAGCTAAGATAGATAAATGTACAAGAGCAGCAATAGATGTGACTCCACTCACGGCGCTGCAGACAGACAGATCCACAGTGATCAAGGTTATGTGAATAACTCTTTACATATGTAGCAGGAGATGATAACTAGCAGAAACACAATAAGCAGACACTAGTGGTAAGAAAGGCAAGAGTTCTTGATGAGAGGTGCATGGCAGTCAACACAAGCTGGCGTGAACTGTGACGGGAAGTGATGACCCAGCTTGGTAGAAGTCTCGGAGGTGACGAGCGAGTACAAAGACAGATCACAGACAGATTCAGGTCCACACATACGTAGTAGCTCTTCCACAAGTGGTGTGTAAGGGATTCTGTAGAATATATGCTATGTATCTGTACAGGAATAAAGATGCTTAGCTTTGTTACTGTCTCAGCCGTTCTGCAGCTGCACCCAGAAGACTCCTCCGACATGAAACAGTTATTCTGCCTCCCGTAGCTGAAGAGGGATAAGTAAGTATATAATTGCCCCAAAGGAGTGTATTTCAATGTATCATTCAGTAACTGAATGATGAATCTTACTTTTTTGGGCTCAATGACCCACCGATGACGGGTTAATAATGGTAACTCCTAATAAGGTATGAACTAGCTATTTGCTGCGCAGATGACCTAACTAGTATCATAACTAAACAGACTTACCCGGGTATTGTATCGGACCGTAAGTTCCCTAGCTTGTGGCAGAGATGTAACCCGGTATCGGTGTCTTGATTGAAACCGAAGTGCTTCGGTGGCATCATCTCTCTGAAGATTGTTCGTAACACACTGACACTGCACTGTTCTATAATATTTGTCCTTTACTTAGCGGTAATTACACAACAGAAAGTTCTACCACGAAGGGCTGAGATTGTCGCTGAGGAACAGAAATGCGCGAATCACTCGTGTCTTTGTCTATTCTCTTAGCGTGAAGCACAAGTTTCCTGTACCAGTTCTTAAATCAGTCTGCCCTGGATCGGGCTTCGCCTTGGGTACGGCCCCAAAATCGCGGACATCAGCATGATTTCCCTACTTGCTTAACATCGTCACAGGTTTATTACCAGTGATAGATTTCTTGATATCTATCGGTCGCCGAGAGTTTATAATTGTCCCACGTTGTGAATAAAGTGATGCAGGGGTTTTTCTGTACTTTTCCTGCCAAGTAAAGAGAGTCATTTTCCTCATTTCATTATCACTCAGTTGCAATGAGCACTGTGGTGCAAAACGTAGGCTACGTGACTGCACTCTGGTGCACGCAGCTACTGCATCTGCTCCCAATTACTAATCATGCAGAAACGACGCTATTTGCCTCTTCTGAGAGGGCGAAAGGGCTGAAAGGAGCTGATACCCCCCCCCCTTCCGTCCTTTCCAGAGAAATTTTCTCCACATGGTGAACGTAAAGGTAACGTAGATTAAATCCACTATTTTTCTCAGCCCGAGGGATCCCTCGTAGTCTCACAGACTTAATCAAAACACACGGGCTACGGCAGCGAGGTACACATAACAGTTATCAGCATGACACGTGGTTTACTCCCGAATTACCGCACCTGACTCACCGCATCTAAATCACCGCACTGAAGCACCGTAGACGAACCACCATACATGAATCACCTCAACAGACAATAACAACGCTTGTTGTCTTGTCCAGAAGCGCTGACGAATTTCACAAACTCCTTCAAAGAAGTGTTCCTTCACATATCCTCCAGCAATACCAGACACAACTAGGAGGGATACTGAGGATATATCATCGAGTAATTACGAAGTGTATGAGGCACAAGGACAACATACTGAGTAAAAACATGAAAGTTTAAAGATGATATGAGAAATACTTAGTCAAGAAGGTTTATACGAGGTTTTATAATTTGTGTAAGGAATGTTATAACTCGATGTAGGCTTTTGAAACTTTTATATTTCCAAATGCATCGTCAAGATTTTTCATTTTGAACAAAACTGCCTCTGAGAATCCCAAAGAAAAATAGTTTTGTGTAGCACAGGATATAACGAAAGTGGAATGCACACAGCAAAAAAAAAAAAAAATCCTGGAAGAGCTGAAGCCTGAGGACTTTAATGAGGGCAAATCCCCTGATCACTCTCCCGCACCGACTCTCCTTCCCTTCACTCGTAAACCAAACTCCCTTCCACCTCTCTCTCTCCACACACACACACACACACACACACACACACACACACACACACACACACACACACACACACACACACAGGCAGAACTACAAAGGGATCTGGACAGGCTGCAGACCTGGTCCAGCAACTGGCTCCTGGAGTTCAACCCCACCAAGTGCAAAGTCGTGAAGATTAAGGAAGGGCAAAGATCACAGAAGGAGTACAATCTAGGGGGACAGAGACTACAAACCTCACTCAAGGAAAAGTATCTTGCGGTGAGTATAACACCTGACACATCTGAGGCGCACATCAACCAAATAGCTGCTGCAGCGTACGGGCGCCCAGCAAACCTAACAATAGAATTCCGACATCTTAATAAGGAATCGTTCAGGACCCTGTACACTGTGTACGTTAGGCCCATATCGGAGTATGCAGCACTAGTTTGGAACCCACACCTAGCCAAGCACGTAAGGAAACTAGAGAAAATGCAAAGGTTTGCAACAAGACTAGTAACGGAGCTAAGGGGTATGTCCTACGAGGAGAGGTTAATAACACAACTAAGGAACGACTTCAAAACATATATTTTACAATATTGTTCTCTTTTGGATAACAAGAGTATGCATCATCAGTTTGGCTTCAAAACTGATGCTTCATAATACAATAGTTTTTGACTGTATATGTCCTAAATTGCCATTTTTATTGAAGAAATTGTGTTACTAGTTCATGTGTGGTTTATGCATGACTCTTCTGATTCTCTTTTAAATTTCTACGCTATTATGTAACTGCGTTAGAAACTGCACCGAGGTGGAGGGGGCTGGGGTTATGTAATTCAGGGATACCTTTCTCGTATAAAGCGACGAACAAAATATGTCTAAGGTTTAATTTGTGGTCTTTTTTTTATTACTCTGTCAACATTGTCGAGTTGTTTTTTATTCTCTTTTTCACTTTCCTTATTTACTGCCCTATTTTTCCCCCTCTTTTTTTGCCCAAATGTAGACTGTAGTGAGATACAAGACCTGCCGCTCTTTAACTGCCTGAGTGTAGACACATTGTACCTGAGTGTAGACACTTTGTACCTGAGTGTAGACACTTTGTACCTGAGTGTAGACACTTTGTACCTGAGTGTAGACACTTTGTACCTGAGATACTCTCCCCGTTTTACATCTTTTTTGATCGCTTTTATTTGTTGAAATTTGCTCCTCTTCCTCAGCGTCCAGGTGTAAGCACCAGGTGTAAGCACCAGGTGTAAGCACCAGGTGTAAGCACCAGGTGTAAGCACCAGGTGTAAGCACCAGGTGTAAGCACCAGGTGTAAGCACCAGGTGTAAGCACCAGGTGTAAGCACCAGATGTAAGCAAAAGGTGTAAGCACCAGGTGTAAGCACCAGGTGTAAGTAAAAGGTGTAAGCACCAGACAGATATTGCTTTCCCTTCTGTACTTTCTGCCTGAGTCTAAAAAGAGTTAACATTCTTTTCTTTCGTTTTTTTTCCTTCATTTGCATCACCATCAGCTTTTCTCCCCTGCTAGACATCGTTCCTCGCAATTTTTTTCCTTTCTCCCCTCCTGGTTGATTGTCTGTGTGTGTGTGTGTGTGTGCGTGTGTGTGTGTGTGTGTGTGTGTGGGGTGTGTGTGTGTGCGTGTGTGTGTGTGTGTGCGTGTGTGTGTGTGTGTGTGTGTGTGTACTCACCTAGTTGTGGTTGCAGGGGTCGATTCACAGCTCCTGGCCCCGCCTCTTCACTGGTCGCTATTAGATCACTTTTCCAGCTCCATGAGCTTCAACTTACCTCTTCTTAAAGCTATATATGGTTCCTGCCTCCCCTACATCACTTCCCAGACTATTCCACTTCCTGACAACTCTGTGACTGAAGAAATACTTCCTAACGTCCCTGTGTTTCATCTGAATCTTCAACTGTAACAAGGTGTTTCACAACTATCGCACTAACTGGAAATGAAACTAGACGACATTTAGGCTTCCCTCCCCCGTCACAAGGTGAATCGATCTGATAACCTTCCAGGATAGACCTCTTCGTTGCATAGTTTCACCTCCAGCTTATGTGCTGCTAATTTGTTGAAGACGATGTATTGCACCGAATAACCCTTAGCAACTTAGCTCTTTCCATGACTAAAACTATTTTGTAATCCAGTCACGGTTGTGTGACTTTTATCCTTCATTGTGCGCTATTTATTTCCAGCCCTGGACCGGCCGGAGATCGGTCCGTGCCAGTTCGAAGTGTCTGGAGTCCAGGGCCTCATCTCTCACGACAACATCAGCCAGTCGAGACTCAACTACTCAGTCGAATACAACTACCCCGTCGACTGCACCTGGGTCATCAAAGTGCGACCCTCAGAGAAGGTAGGTTAGGAACCATATAGTGATTATTTTGGTTATATTTATGAAGAAGAGCTAAACTCATACAGCGTCGGCTCAGTGAGAGGTAATCAGGATTGATCCAATGGAGAGTAGCTCGGTTAATTGAATTAAGAGCCTTCACCATCTTCTTGGCCAATATGCAAAAGTCTCTAGTTTGCAATGCGTAACCCAGAACGTTTAACTTCACTCAACAAATATAAACAGTGGTATCAGCATGGCGTTCAGAATCATTACTTCTTGAGAAAATAGTCGTAAATAACTATTATAGCATAACATCCTTTGAACTTCAAGCTTCCTTGAAAAAATGTAAAGCCACTTCACTTGGAGAAGACGGCATAACCTTAGCCACTCTTGGACTTTCCGACGAATTGCCTAACAACCCTCTCCTTGATTTATGTAGGTTCAGTTTACAGAACTGTGTCTGCCTGACCCTTGAGCATAGTCTCACATCGGGCCTATTCCAAAACCGAGATCTGCAAGTTTAGCCCATCTCATAAAGCCCTTGAGAGAATTGTCCTTAAAAACCCAATATCATACAACACCAGTTCTTTCCCTTTCTCTACGAGTTCCCACCTTGGTGTGCCGAGTACTTCACCAGGCAGAGACCTGGCATGATGGCGACCTTTATTGACCTCTGAGCTGATTTCGATACAGCCAAAAGAGAACCTATTTTGGAACAGTTGACCCATTTTTGTCAGAGGGTAACTATATATTTGAATACAAGGATACCTGAGGAATGGAACAGCCTCCGTAGGACACCAAGGTGTCAAAAAATATCACTGAGCTATTTATACCTCATAATGGAGTACTAAGTCCCACTCTCTTTAATATTGTGCTGTAGATGACGTCTGCATCTTTAGAAACACAGCACACAAGAATACAAACTCTCCTCGACGCCTTGAAAGTCAGCAGCATTGACTGTAGTCGGACATATCCACGGACAAGATCAAAATTTTACGTCCCAATGTCTGAACTAATAATCCGCTTCCTTTCTAAATAGTAACATTGCCCTTTAGTTCTGTGAACAAACTCTTACAGGTTTGAAGAGAAACTTAATCCCCTTAGATTACTTTTAGGAAAGGATATTGGCATCAACATAAAATATGGAAGATTGTTCTTCAGAATGTTCATCAGATTTCTCACTAACTACCATCGGATTTCTCACTAACTACTTAACAAGGTCATGAGGATAATTCTTACTGTTCTAATGTACACTATACTTGTAAAGACGAGGAAGGAATTGAAGCTTCCTACTGTGAATGAAATAGTACAGTTAAACTCAATCTTCTGTATTAAGATCACGAAGGATCCGACATCGTCAACACGGCTCAGTGATGTGCTGTTTCATGCCTATAATATGCCAGATAGTCAATAACACACCAGCTCATTGTAAATATGAGTAATCTAGTTAAACTGTACGACCCTGTTAAATTCAGTACTCCTGTCCATGATATCCCCCGCTACTCACTACTCTATGTATAGATATACGCCTGTCACTAAGAAGAACAATCAAAATCCGCTCCTCAAGAGAGTAGTGCAAGAATCTGTTGCCTGGCACACAGATATCTAGCTGCCCAGTGAACACCTTGCTTTCACTGATGGCTTGTTTTAGCAGACTAGAGGCCAATCTTCGGCAGCCTGCAGAACACACATAGGTAATAAGCATTCCAAGACTAGTGGCATCACACTGAATATCTAGCTCAGTTAAACACTAACAGAGCTAGCTGCGCTGAAACTCGCCACCAGTATCTTAAAAAACACAGGAGGAGGAGGAGGAGTAATCTTGTGACTCCAAGTCAAACACCTGTTAGTCTTACTGACCAAGAACATCAAAACAGAAATTAAAAATGACCTGAAAAGTGCTCAGTACAAAGATGTTCATTTTTCATTTGTCTGGATAGCTTCCTATACAGGAATCAACTATTATTTTAATACAGATAAAGAAGCTAGATCTGCCTGTGACAGGCCGGAGGCAGCTACAACTGGGTATTCCTCTGTACATCGTTAAAACCATCCTACTGAAGAAAATTAGCTTTGGAAGACTAGTAAGCCCCGATTCCTAGAGACCTGAAAGTTATGTGTATGGGCAACATAAAACTTTCACTAGATTGTGTGACAATGGGGCTGTCAGAATCAGGTTGGGTTATCATCACCTGTGGCTGATGTGTGCAACAGCAGGAAAGCCTCGCTTCCCTGCTTATTCTTCATGTAAGTTTTGTGAAAAGAGAGAACACACGACCATTGCCTTCATATAGTTGAGTGTCCAGTTGATATGATAGTTATACATGTACGTAAATGAGCATTTCACATGTATTTACATTTATACACACATACAAATATCTATACATACATGTATATGTGCATATACATACGTGCATATATAATACAGAAACATATACATATACAAATATACGTATGTACATAAATACATGCATAAAAAGTATGCATTCGCATTCAACTGAGGCATCACTAGGCTTCTAGTGATGGCTGGCAAATTTTAGGGTCGACAGCGATATCCTGAGGTAACCCGGAGTCAATAAATTGTTTACACAGTTCCTAGTTGCCCATTCCCGTAGCTCGATCGCTAGCGCACTCGGCTCACACACTGAGATCCGGAGTTACGAATCTCTTCAGGTACGGCTGGAAAACATTAGGGACGTGTTTCCATAAGACACCTGCTGTCCCTGTCCCTGTCCCTGTTCACCCATCAGTTTAAAATGGGTACCTGGGTGTTAGTCGACTGGTGTGGGTCGCATCCTGGGACAAAACTGACCTAATTTACCCGAAATGCTCAGCATAACAAGCGGCTTTCTATATAGTAGTATGTCAATGATGTCAGCTAGGACTTTATACCTTGTACTTGCACTTGTAGTAAATAAAGTATTATTATTAGTAGTAGTAGTATAGCATTATTATTCCACCAGGCCGAAAGTCAAAATCCCAGGAGAAAGCAGTTTCTGTGATACTCGGACTACCCTATCTGGTACCAATAATCATTCTAAGGTCAAAGTCACTTAGATCACATTTCTTTTCCGTTCTGATGTTCGCTATGAATAACAACTCATCCTGTAGACCATGTCTGCATGATTTTATTCATTTTATTCATGTGCTGCCACGTGAATGACTGATTAAATATTAGATATTCTTTTCCTTACCTCTTCCTTTTACTTTCTTCTACCTCCTGTATATGACTTCTCTTTCTCGCGGTCTGGGAAGATGGAGATCTCTTCATAATACTTCCGTCCCTTTTATGTAAGTAATAGGCTATCCTGAGCGCTGGCAGTTCCTTGGTAACAGTAATTTCAGCTGTGCTGGAAGGAAACCTTCCAAGTTCCGTTAGCTGATGAAGCCTTGCTGGAAAGCTGAACGATATACTCATTACCGTACTGAAGTCTTCCAGCTCAGGCTGACAGATTTCAACCTCCTATTTAGCCCTATACTACGTGATGGAATACGACAGTTAAACATACTTAGCTTTTGTTAAAGCTGTGAATTTTTCATTTACAATAAGGTACATTGCTGATGTATCCAATTTTGTTTAAATTTAAACATAAAGGTACAGCCCAATTGAAAAAGCATAGCTGTTGTTCAGGAGTTTTGGCTCTTCATGAGTAATGGATATTACAACTTGGTGTATAATCAGTTACAGTTCCGTGGCTCGGACAGTTTGCAGTTAACCCATAAGTTGCAATATGAAATCTGGAAGACCTTTTAGTTTGCTGTGACTCATTATCAATCTGCGAATTTCTCCATCATTGTTCAAGACTGACCCAAACAACGTTTAGTTTCCTTCTCCATTTAGTGAGTTGTGAAAAGCACAGTTTATGCAGAAAGTGTGATTCCGGTCGCACATATTTGTAAAATGCAACGCAGATTAACACGTAAATTGTTTCTTGTTCTGTTTATCCGGAGAGGTTCGTTAGCTTTTTGGACCATGTCAAAACCCGGGAAGGAGGGGGATGGAGGAGGGGAGTTATACACTGACGATTAAGGCATCTTGTTGAGCTGGGACTCAGTCCCAGTAATGACGCACTATTTTTATGCGGCAGAGTTGTGTACAGCTAGAGCTTAAGACTACCCTTTTCTCTAAGACTTACATTATGCCAACATAAGCTAGCTATTTTTTCCCCCGTCATGTTCAAACACATTGGATGGGCTTCATGTAGATTTTGAAAACAGAGTTCTCGAGTTGCGTCATGAATGCAACATCGGAGATTCTTCTCACCCAAAAATTTTTTTATAAAAATAACAAAATCTAGACACTCATCAACCCCCTGTTGGGCCTAAAGAACGGGGAGACTTTCCCTTTTGTCAAAATTTGTTGTGACGTACACCCAACAACTTAAACGATTTATGGATATAATTTGTACAACAAATACTTAGATCTGTTTTGTTTACACTGTGATTGTCATTTGTAATATTGTGAAAATGTCGCTTGTAATATTACAATTTATTAAAGAGGGCAGAAAATAGATAATGGTAATAAGAAATTGATAAGATGGACGTGAATTCTGGCAAAATATAATAATGTTAGCACCTTTTCAGCTAACTTCAGGAATAACAAGTGAATAGACATGTCAGCAAAATATGGACTACTTTAACTTGGGCGGAAATAAATTAAGAATGTTGAATTCATTAATATCTTCAGTATTAAATGAATGTGATCCTCCTGCACCTATTCTGGTCCCTGTGATCCTCCTGCACCTCTTATGATAATTGTGATCCTCTAACTCTCCTTGTCCCTATGATACCTCTTCACTTCTCCTGGTTCCCATGATCCTCCTGCACTTCGCCTGCTTCCCCAGGCCATCAGTCCTCGCATCCACTCAGGAGAAGTGCAGGTGCAAGAAGCAGCCACCACTCTCACAGTCTCGTTCACCCAAACTTCAGGTCCATTTTGTGTCGATTTGCACGAGCGTCGTGCTGAGCAGTCCCGTTTGCTCAGGTGCTCGGACTCCCATGGGCACACTGCCCACACTGGC